TTTTTATTTTGTTAGTTTTTAAATTAGACGAGTAACCATTGTTTGATGTAAAGAAAGTATTGAAACCTTAAGTCCAATCTTTTACCCTTTAAACAAAAAAACGATGTCCATATCACTTGAGAATGTGTGGTTCTGCCTGCTGGTTGTGGTTCAAATAAAGCTGTATTCAGTATCAGGACAGTGAAGCTGCTGAAACAGGAAGTGCAAAACTGAAAGGAACACGTTTTTTTATATACGTTTCTAATGTTTTTGACATTTTCGCAAAAAATAAGGAAAAAGGCATAGGAAAAAACAATCAGTTTGGATGCAAAAACAAAAAGGAAGGTCTAATTAATGTCAGTTTTTAGCCATCAGGATGCAGCCAGTCAATCAACCTGTCGGCCAATCAGCTTGCAGCCTGCGACACCATGCTTTATTAGAGCAATGCAAGCACACACATGCACACACACACACACACACACACACACACACACACACACACACACACACACACACACACACACACACACACACACACACATGCACACCCAAACACACATGCACACAGACACATGCACACACACACACACACACACACAGTAGGAATGTTTTTGCCCTGTTGTCAGTCTGTCAGGCTGACAACACACCCTCACCCACACCCTCAACATTGGCTTAAATTTCACCCACAATTAAAATGGGGCAATTGGAAAATGTGTTATCAATAATATATTCCTCAGGGGTTATCAGGATATAATTAAATAAAAAAGTGTAAACAGGATGCTGAATATTAATATAACACATTTATATTGTGAGATATTATTTGATAAATAATGAATTTGAAAATAGACAACAAATGATTACACTGAATGTAAAATAAAAAAATATTGTAAAGTAATGTTATTAATTGAGGGATAAGGATTTAAAATGAAGTAGTTTTAGTTTTATGAAAGCTTTATTTCCAGCTCTGAAGCTCCTCAAATATCAGCTGATCATCAAAATGCAAAGAGGAACAATCTAAAATCCTCCCAAAAAACATCAAATAAGTCTCAATTAATTGGTTAATCTTGTCAACATGTTCCCTTAAAATATTGTTTCAGTTTATTGTCAAACAATAACTCTTACACCAAATAGGACTCCGATGACTCTCACAAATAGTTTTCCTTAAAGGTGGGGTATGTAATTCACTTCAGAAACACTTGTTATATTCCATGGAATGCTCTTAACATCCGGATAGCAATGAATAATTAAATGCTTTGACAATAAATACATTAAAAAAACTATCATCTGTGGAAGCCGTAGCGCGGTAAAAAGCACGACCAATCATCTGAGCCGGCTAAAGTAACTGGACGGCCTACCTGCCTGTCAGCCTTCCATCTGTGCACAAACTTATCTCGTGCCCTCATTGGTCATGTGCGCGTTCGAGTGTGTTGGAGGAGGGGCTCTGTGAGGAAGTCTGAAGGAAGAGGCAGATATTTTTCGGTTGTGTATTTTCAAATTCTAGCGCACTCGAGCTGGTTTCTCCATTCTTACCTACCCCACCTTTAATCTATAAACACGTTAGGATTTTTTATTTTCACATTAAACAAGTTAAAATTGAATTTAAATGAATTTGTTGGTCATCAACGTTTATGTCAAAAAATACATTTTCAGATTTATATTTTGTATTTATTTATTTATTAATGTAATATTAGTACAGACAATTTATGAAACCGACAAACATACTCAATTACTAGAAGTTACATCGTTACAAATAATACAAAAATACATTTAGCTTTTTAAATCAGGAGTATTCATCAACAGGCCACTTTTAAATAATGAAAACATGTAATTAGTAATATTGATAATAAAGGATGGATGTACAGTACAGTGCCTGCAAACAGTATAATGCAGCTTCAACTTTCACAACACAACAAATTACAATAATCCCCCAAAAATGTGGATTTAAATCATAATAACGACTTTCTGTGACGTAGAATTTAAATTATTTTGACGTAGAAACTCAGAGTTTGATTCATCATGTTTGCATGAAATAAAAAAATGGAGTTTAAATTATTACAATTAAAGAAAAAATATGTAAACAGTGTGTCAGCGCATCGGCCCTTACTGGTGAACTGAACTCACCTTTAAGTTAAAAATATAACATTAACGAGAGTGTTATCGTGGTCGCCGTGACGACGCTCCTGGAGACGAGCAGATACCGGCTATTGTGTAGCTAAGCAACAGACAGGAAGTGACATCACGGGTCAGCTGATCGTGTGACACATGTACAGATTTATAAACTGATGTTTGCTTTGTGGATGCAGCTAACAGAGCTAATTTAATAAGTGACTTGCAGTTATTATTCTGAGATGATCCATGAGTTCAATTATTATCAGATATAAATAAAATGCTTTTATTGAACTGGTTGTGTGTTTGTGGTTTTTTATGAACTTTATTTAATGTAATGTAGTGCGTCCATCTCACAACAACCATACAGGGGACCCAACATATTTTAACCCTATTTTACTTGGATCAACACAAAACGACTTTGAGTGTGTGCGTGTGTGTGTGTGTGTGTGTGTGTGTGTGTGTGTGTGTGTGTGTGTGTGTGGGTGTGTGTGTGTGTGTGTGTGTGGGTGTGTTGTGTGTATGTGTGTGTGTGTGTGTGTTCTGTATGTATGTCCTGTATGTGTGTGTGTGTGTGTGTGTGTGTGGTGTGTGTGTGTGTGTGCGTTGTGTGTGTGTTGTGTGTGTGTCTGTGTGTGTCGGTGTGTGTGTGGTGTGTGTGTGTGTCTGTTAGTCTGTCATGTCTGTCTGTGTGGTGTGTGTGTGTGTGTGTGTGTGTGTGGGTGTGTGTGTGTGTGTGTGTGTGTGTGTGTGTCTATGTGTGTTCTGTGTGTGGTGTGTGTGTGTTCTGTCTGTATGTGTCTGTCTGTGTGGTGTGTGTGTGTGTGTGTGTGTGTGTGTGTGTGTAGTCTGTTGTGTGTGTGTGTGTGTGTGTGTGTGTGTGTGTGTGTGTGTGTGTGGTGTGTGTGTGTGTGGTGTGTGTGTGTGTGTGTGTGTGTGTGTGCGTTTGTGTGTGTGTCTGTCTGTCTATAATAGTGTGCGTTGTGGTTGCTAATCTCCATCCCTCAGCAGCTCAGAACGATCCTCGCCCGGAGAGAGAGAGAGAGAGAGAGCGGCGTCTGGCCGGCCTCGACCACCAACCGCCCTCTGTTCCTTCTGTTCATCTCCCTTTTCCTCTCTTGCCCTTTTTTTTCTGAGTCCGGAAAACCAAAAGCCTCCTGCGTTGCACAACAGCGGCCTCCAGCAGGCAGCCTGCAGGGGGTGGAGGGTGAGGGGGGGGAAGAGAGAGACGAGTGATACCAACAGACTGCCTCCACATCCACACATGATGCTCTGAACACAGGCCTCTGCTTCAGCTCCTATAGCAGTAAGCACTCCTGCTGAAGAACTTGCAATGTGCTGCCACACAAGAGACAAGGAGCTATTTCAGCCACAGCTAAGAAGAATACATAAATCAGCAGTAATTAATAAAGAAACAGGAAGCTTAGCATCAAAATGTGTGCAGATTTGAACAGGACAAGGTTCCTGTTTTAGTGGAAAGTGCACATGAGTGCCTCTAACAAGCTGCAATTAACAGGCAACATCATGCTGCTCTAGATTCAACAGATTAGAGATTAGATTGTGTTACATTTCACAATAGAAAATCAAAACAACAAAACTATTGACATAAAGCAGAATAATCCTCTTTAATGCGACACTGCGTAGACTGCAGAGGGCACAGAAAGACAGACTAAGCGATGACAAGAAGTCATGTGACCGTGATGTCGTTCCTTTAGAGCAGGGGGGTCAAACTCAAATACACAGTGGGCCAAAATTTAAAAATGGGTACTAGTCGAGGGCCGGACTGGTTCAATGTCTATTGCAGAACTTATTGAAATGAACTTATTGCACATATTAAACCTGGAACTAACAAAGCTTAAATGATTGCCTATAAAAACAACATTACACATTAAATAATCAGTTGCATTCATTTCTTATGGCTCTATCTGCAGCTTTTCCGGAGTCACTTCTTATGAGTACATTTTCCCACAGGCCAACAACAGCTTCAACAAAACTATTCCCCTCAAAGAGAAAACCAATCATGCCCTGTTGTCGTGAGAGAAAGTGCAGAAGGAAGCATCCATTGAACTCAGGTTGCTGCTCTGTGATGCTAGTTCAGATACTTGGCATCTCTCTCGGGGGCAAGGTCATCAATGTTTGGGCTCAGGCTCTGAGCGGAGGAGACCCTCAGGATGGAGTGAAGGTGTGCGTGCAATATACCGGCGGGACAGATCTAATAGTAATTACAAATTATCCTGCGGGCCGAAATTAAATCCACCACGTGCCTGATTTGGCCCCCGGGCCTTGAGTTTGACACATATAGCCTAACATTAGCTTTTCACTTCAGGAGATTGCATTTACACTTAAAAAATCATAACGTGGTGTTAATATGTGGAGGTTATCCTGCAGAAAAAATATGTAAGTATCATAAACTTGTTTGCCAGAGAGATTATTTTAAGAAATAAATCCTGTTTACTTTGTGTCGAGGGAAGCAGGGAGATGCTACCTTCATGGTCAATAAGTCATCAATGCACCCAAATAACTTATCTACTGTTTGCTTTCAGTCAAAAAAGAATTATTGGAAGTTTTATACTGTAATTGTAACGCTGCTCACTCGGCACTAATCTACACCGGCTCAATTAACTATACCTGATTATAGGCTTGTTTTTTCCATTTGACACTAATGCAACTGATCATGTCCTAATTGGACAGTCCATAGTGTGTGGAGAGAGTGTGTGGAGCAGAGGAAAGGTCACCAGTGAAGTTGTCCTTGTGTAGGAAGACTGGAAAGCCACAGAGTTGTTTTATTTCAATATAACAATCTCTCTTTTGTTTGTATTCTAGCTGACAGAAAACTGAATCACAGATACAAGAAACCAAACGTGCCACGAAATAAATCATTTTTAAACGTATTTTATTTACAGAATCACTTCCCAGTAAGAGGTTTATTAAAAACATGTAACTTGTTCAAAGTAAACAATGCAGAAAGTCCCATTCAGAAACTCAGTCAGGACGAGGTCAGAGGGCAGCTGTTTGAATGGTGGTGGGCGGGACCAGAAAGGGCAGCCTAGTATCTGATTGGTCGAATTTCCTGCTCCTCTTATTCTTATTGGTCACTTTACGGTTTCTGGTTTGGATTCCGTCTTTCTTCATCGCCAGCGGCCTGTTGACCTGAAATGACAAAGTTAACAGGATCATCTCAATATATAAACACCACGTTATGATTGTTAAAGCGTAAATGCAGATGCTAGAAGTTAAATGTTAGGCTTGTTAGGAACAGCAGTGGTGCTGAACATTAGCTGCTGTTAGCTTAGCAGGGGTGATGTGTAGTTTGTAGTACCTGGTGTAGTTTGTAGTAAAGGCCGCAGGCGTTGCACACCGGTTCTCCTGCAGAGTTCCTCCTCCACAGCGTTGTAGTTTCAGTCAAACAGTTCACACACTGAGTTCCTTTTCTCTGATTCATAATCTGAAACAAATGTAAGTATATTTAAATAAACACATTTATATCAAAACATTTTCATAAATCAGCGCCAAAGCTAAATGATGTTAAAACCCCAATGTCTCCTTTTTACACCTATTCAACAACATACAGATGTGAGTGTGTTGTGTGTGTGTGTGTGTGTGTGTGTGTGTGTGTGTGTGTGTGTGTGTGTGTGTGTGTGTGTGTGTGTGTGTGTGTGTGTGTGTGTGTGTGTGTGTGTGTGTGTGTGTGTGTGTGTGTGTGTGTGTGTGTGTGTGTGTCTCACAGCTCTCCTCTTCGGCCTCAGCAGTGGTTTGTTGTTGGGTTTCTGTCGGAGGCCGCAGGTGTTACACAGGTGACGACCTGCAGCGTCTCGTCTCCACAGGGGGGCTCTGCTCGTCCCACAGCTCACACACACTCTCTGCTCTGAACACACGCACGCACACACACCCCAAGAACATGAATATCCTGCGTCAAACACACAGACAGGTGCAGGTCAGACAGGTGTATTGCTCACCTGGTGCTTGGCCCCGCCCCCACGACAGACTTTCAGGTAACGACCAATCATTAGAGAAGGAGGATGGCGAGGGGTAACAGTTGCCATAGTAACTGTTCCATCCAGGTGTAGGGGGTGGAGACACAGCAGGATGACCATATAAAGAGGAATAAGCAGAGCTGAGTGATTGACAGCTGGAGTCGTCCAACAAGTTCATGAAGTTGTGCCGCTCCGCCTCATGGGAGATGCTTGGTGATTGGACGAAGGTGTGTGAAGGGGCGGGGCTAACCTGCAAGAAACAGATTGATATGCATTAAGAACGGAATACATACCTGTATGGCTGCATAATAAGCTTTCTTTTCTCTATCAGATGTCACCGCTAGCAGGTTTAAACAACTATGGCAGCCTCGGAGGTCCAAAATTCATAATAAACTTGTTGATAAGTCTTAACTATAGTAAGAGAAGTGTGAACAAATGTAAGTCAATAAACAGACACAACTCATGAGTTAAAGACTAGCTCCTCTGAATTTTTAGGTAAAAAGATCCATAGTTTTCTGTTTCTAATAAAATATTATTACATTACATGTCACTTGTTAGACGCTTTTATCCAAAGCGACTTACATACTCAATATGTGGGCAATCCCCACAGGAGCAATTTGGGTGAAGTGTCTCAGGGACACAACGACATGCTGACTGCAGTGGGGTTTGAACCTGTGCTCCATTGATCCGAACACCACCGCACTAGGCCACTGCGCCACACGCCACCCAATATATATATATAAATATATACCTTTCCTTTGTTTCTCACTTCATTAAAGAATTGTTGATTTGTTTTAATATTTGCTGTCTATGTTAAGTCTTTCCCTTAGTAAAACTAACTTAAACTATGAGCTCAAAACAACCTAAAATCTGATAAAAACACGGGTTAAACTGGTGAGCAGGTTTGGTTGGTAACATTAAGTAAAAATGAAGTGCATTTGAACAAGAGGAGGTTTGGTCCAAAGCACTTAAATGTCTCAGTATGAACCAGAGTGAATGTTAGAAGTCATTCTGACCTTTGTGTTGAACATTGATGTTTCGTACAAAGTTGTTAGAACAGTCGGGGACCAATCAGAGAGCTGCAAATAATCTGACATCGTCACTGTGTAGAGAAATGAGAGACGGAGTGAGAGCAAAAACATATGTATATCAAATTGTGTGTAATGAGAAGTGACACAAATATAAGAGGGACAGAGAAAATAATCAAATGAAAATAATAAAATAAGTGGTAAAAGACAACAAATACATGATTTAAAAAAAAGTTTAAAACAAAGAGATAATTAATAAAAAAAACAAGATAAAGGACAAAAAAAGAATGACCTACATAGCACAGAGAAAAAAGATACAAGAGTTAAAACAAAAAGGTCCAAATGAAATAAAAGATCGAACTAAGTGCTGATATGAGAGCGGTGCTGATACTCACAGAGCTGCAGGAGATTATGTGTCTCCGGTAAACTTTGACTGATGCTCTGAAGGAGAAACAGGAAGTGAGGGAGGGGGCACAGTTTGTGTCAAGTTCCTTTTCAAAATGTTTGACAAATGACACAAAATATACCTTTTTTCATTTATTTGACCGAAAACTTGAGTACTGAAGTACAACTGTAAGGGTATTTCTATCTTCTGCTGCGTTGTGCTCGTTCTACTCCTGCGCAAAGAGAAATATCAGCAATCATTATCTATATTGCATAGTTAAAGCACTTTTGTATTAAAAAGTAAATAAATATGGTGCCAACTTGAACAAAGTATAGCATTATTAATGATCCAATATTTCAACAAAAGCATGGAGCATGGAGCTGTTCATTTTTGGCAACTATTTGTTGTACTTGCATTTAATTTAATTTTCTTTTGTGAGGTGTGGCTTTGCATTGTATCACCAATATATTTCCACATGTTTACCGTTGTTTGTATTGTTGCTGTTATCATTGCTTTGTCTCTTCCACACACTCTGTCTGGTGGTTCAGAATAAAAAGGCTTAAGGAACCTTAACAATGAGATTGAATAAGATATTAAAGTGTCAATATTTCAGCTCATCATTACTGTTATTCCAATTTCCACAACCTTTTGTTGTGATGCACTGAAGTTTTGAATTTGTTCGTATGGAAGGTTTTTCCCACTCTCTTCCTCCTCCTCCTCTTCCTCACGTGGTGAAGCTGAAGAACGTCTTCCCTCACGGTACGGGCTTCGTCCTGGTGTTTGACTTCATGCTCTCAGACCTGTCCGAGGTCATCAGGAGCTCTTGTGTGTGTGTGTGTGTGTGTGTGTGTGTGTGTGTGTGTGGTGTGTGTGTGTGTGTGTGTGTGTGTGTGTGTGTGTGTGTGTGTGTGTGTGTGTTCAGAGCAGAATGTGTGTGAGCTGTGGGACGAGCAGCGCCCCCCTGTGGAGACGAGACACTGCAGGTCGTCACCTGTGTAACACCTGCGGCGTCCGACAGAAACTCAACAACAAACCACTGCTGAGCCCCAAGAGGAGAGCTGTGAGACACACATGCACACACACACACACAGTATAAATAATATAATATTCACGGTACATTTTTGTTCAGAAATGATAATTCTTTATTTTTTAACATGACCTTTGTGTCAACGCCATGCTTAACAGCAACAGAGAGGACTTCCATAGTAATGATTCGTCCTTGTAGAGTTCATAAAAGTCTCTTCCACACGTTCATGTATCATATTATCATCTTGTTTTATTCACCGCAGAAATACTTTATGGAAGTTTGAGTGAAGAGTAACAGGAAATGTGACGAAAGAACAATGATATGTACAGGTTCATCAACAAATCACTTCCGCACTTCAGAAAGTAAAGGAAAAACACGTCAATGAAACACAACAAAATAAATAAACATACAATGTAAAAACAATGTAGAGTCACTGGGAGAGGAATCTGATAGGTCGTTCAGAGACAGGAAGCGTGGCCCTGCAGCAGCGCGGGGTCTACCACGCTGTTCTGCAGGGGCAGGTCCACGGAGAAGTCAGTGGGCGGAGCCTGCAGCCGCTGGCGGGGGGGTCGACCCCCCCTCTGAGGGATGGGCAGCTCAGAGTGGTGAGCAGGAAGAGGAGAGGAGAAGAAGTACGGATGGAGGAGAGCCTGCAGAGGAGGACCACCAATCAATTAACCAATCAATTCATAAACTAACCAACTCATCAATCGGCCTGCTGTCCAGTTCCTTGAACAGATCAAAAACAGATTGGTCCAAATATGAACATCAAAGGGGGAGATATCCTGCATTCTACTTTTCCCACAATGCAATTCAATAGTGGGCGAAATGCAGTACCAACACAGTATTATGACAAAGGGTCCGTAAACAGTGAAGTTATAGAATGATTTTGTTTCTGGACTAAAATGTGAATACATGCACTTACACAGGAAAGGAAATGGGACCTAATGGGGAGCCCTGAGGAACTCCATCTTCTGTATCTACTACACGTCACTTCCTGTTTCCTACCTTTCTGGCGGAGCAGCGCTGTTTGGATGGATAAACCAGGAACTTGTTGAGCAGGTCGACGGCCTGAGGAGACGTGTCGGGGACGATCTCCTCCAATGGGATCGCTGGATTCTCCTTAAAGGTGATTTTATTGTAATCTGGCAGCTCCACGATCTCCTGGAGAGAGACGCCAAACACAGAGAGCATCAACACAATGATGTTTTTACGGAAGTACATATTTAACTTATATAGATGTAATTAAAAACTGAACAGACTTGACCAATGATAACATTTCATATGTTATGTTACCACCTAAATGTATATGTCAGTTTAGATGTATATGTATGGATTTATGAGGCCTCTTGTCTGCTGATAATGGATCTTACAGGCCAGCTTTCCTGAGTTGGTGTTCCCAGGACTCTGAGGACACAACACAGCTGCTCGATGTCGTTCTCTCCCGGAAACAAAGGAGATGCGTTCAGCAGCTCCCCGAAAATACAGCCCACCGCCCTGAAACACACACACACACACACACACACACACACACACACACACACACACACACACACACACACATACCATGTATACATCACTTCAGGGGACATTACATTGACTTACATGCATTTCCTGGAGACTTATCCTAACCTTAACCATAACCAACACATGCCTAACCCTATCCCTAAACCTAACCAAGTCTTCACCCTAAAATTAATGATTCCCTTATGGGGACCTCTATTTTGTCCCCATAAGGGAGGCGAGTCCCCACACATGACTGTGTAAACAGATTTAGGTCCCCACAAGTATAGTAATGCTAGGCCACACACACACACACACACACACACACACACACACACACACACACACACACACACCAGGGCTTTTATTCTGAAGGACTACAGGAACACACACAAGTAAGATTTCTTTGAATGTATTCCCTCGTTCTGCATGGGTCAATAGCTCCACCTGCAGCTGAGCTCTGGGTAGTGCACTACATCATTCAATTTGTGTTACTTTTTTCATTTAAATATGTGTATTTATTATATGTTTATGTAGCAGTATTCAGAGTATTTTCAGTAGTTTTCTCACCACAGATCGACTCCCTCGTCGTACTTTCTGGCTCCGTACAGCAGCTCAGGAGCTCTGTACCACCTGAACACACAAATATTAAATGCTGCATTATTACATATTGTTACATTTAGCTTTCTTATGGAAGCGACACGGACTACATTCTAAAAGTGGAGGCTGGTTTGACTGGTTTAAGATGTTTTTTAAAGCTGTTTGTGTGTGTATTTTTTAATAAACTAAACTATTGTTGCTAGTGTGGGACGTTTGCAACAATACCTCCCAGCTAACACCCCATAAAACAAAGAAATGTTGCCTAAAAAAAGTATCTAATAATAAATAAAAATGTGTGTGTGTTACCTGGTGGCCACCTGATGGCTGTACAGTCTGTCGCCCAGCTCACTGAACAATCTGGCCAAACCAAAGTCTGCGATCTTCAGATGACCGGAAGAACTGATGAGGAGGTTTGCTGGCTTCAGGTCCTGCACACACACACACACACACACACACACACACACACACACACACACACACACACACACACACACACACACACACACACACACGCACACACACACACACACACACACACACACACACACACACACACGCCGTCAGTAAGAACTATTGTCTGGGTTTTTATTGTGAAGGGCTTAAAAAAAAAAACTCGGGTCAAAATGAAAAATAAATCTTCCTTTCCTCCAGCCCCAGCCCCGTACCCTCCTCTCACCCGGTGCATGATGTTGTTGTGATGCAGGAAGGCCACGCCCTTCAGCAGCATCATCATGTAACCTTTGACCTGCGCTGGGGTCAGAGGTCGCTGAGAGTTCCTGATGACCTCGGACAGGTCTGAGAGCATGAAATCAAACACCAGGACGAAGCCCGTACCGTGAGGGAAGACGTCCTTCAGCTTCACCACCTGAGGAAGAGGAGGAGGAGGAGGAAGAGAGTGGGAAAAACCTTCCATACGAACAAATTCAACACTTCAGTGCATCACAACAAAAGGTGTTGACATGTGGAATAACAGTAATGATGAGCTGAAATATTGTACAAGTTTATCAAAACTAAAACTAGTATTTAGAAACCAAATCATTAATGGTTATGAGAAGGACCTGGGAACTCATACTTGTTATTTCTTGTCGTTGTAAAAGTTATTTATTTTCTAAAAAGTATTTGTTTACAACATGACGAACTAGACGCTGATGACGATGACCTAATCTTTTATTTTCAAGAAAAATGTACGCTAGAGGGGGGAGGACCAGAAAAGTATTTTTAACTTCTTCTTGAACATGACAGAGACTATTTGAGAATCTATTTATTTTAATTTGTTTGTACCTTGAACGTTTTTTGTTGTTTTTTTGCATCTCTTTGATTCTGACATGTTCAATAAATTGATTAATACAAAAATAAATTAAAAGACTGTGATGAGATTTAAAAGTACTTCTGTCTTATGGCTACCGTCCATCTCTTATTTAGTTTGTTAACGATAGGATGTCACTCTGAAGGTCACTAGGATAATGAGAGGGTAAGATGGCGTCCTCTGACACTCACATGCTCGTTGTCCTCGATCTCTTGCAGAGCCTTGATCTCCCTCAGAGCCTGGTTTGGGATGCCGTCCTCCAGCCGCCTCAGAGCCACTTTCTTTAGGGCCACCGTCTCTCCTGTCTGACACACAACACACAAATCTGTACTTTCACTATCAATAAAGAAAAGTACTGAGAGTAATATGCACAGATTTAGTAACTGCTATATGGTCCTCTTCGCTTCAGGATGTGAGGACTATTATCTGACACCAGGGGTCAGTCTGTGTGTTCATTCAATTGGTCGGAGAGTAACATGAAGTTGTGTCTGATTTCAAGAAACAGGCTATATTTATATTTTTAACGAGAACTAGGAAAACACATTTTCAGTTTTTGGACTGTACACAGATAAAATCCCTCTTTTCTCTGATTCAAAACAAGTGACATTTTTTTTTTAAAGTGTCCAGTTAAATCTTCCCAAAGTTGAACGTATTAAATGTCTTGTTTTGTCTGGCAATCAGTCCAAAACTAACAGTAAAGATAGTTTTGGGAAATAAACTGTTCTGTCTTGCATCAAATCAACCAATTGATTAAGTGTTAAGTGTAAGCAACAGTAATTGTTTGTGTTGTTGACCAGTTGTTTACCTCGATGTGTTTTGCCTTGAAGACGATGCCGTGAGCTCCTTCTCCGATCCGACCCAGAATACTGTACTGCTCCATGTCTTCCTGTCACGCAGTGGTGTAAAGTAGATAAGTACATTTACTCAAGTACTGTACACTTACAATTTAGAGACAGTAGTACTTTACCCGAGTATATAAATGTTCTGATACTTTGTACTTCTACTCCACTACAGTTCAGAGGTGAATGGTGTACTTTTACTCCACTACATGTATTTAATAACTTTAGTTACTTCACAGATGTGGATGAATGATGTGAAATATAATCAAGTGTTGAATCAGACTTTAGTTCCACCTGGAGTAAATCCACAAGCTACCCTGCAGTATACAAAGTCATTCAAACTAGCTGCTCCTTTACCAGCTTTGAGGACACTTTAATGATCAATCATTATAAAACACATCATATATATTATTCTGAAATGGACCAATCTGCACAACGACTACCTTTACTTGTACTTTAAGTATATTTTGATAATAATACTTTTCTACTTTTACTTGTCACAGAGTATTCATACTCTCTGGTAGCCTACTTTTACTCAAGTACAATATCTGAGTACTTCTCCCTCCTCTGCTGTCACTGCACACAGCTTGATTTAACTGTGTCTATTAAAACTGTCCAGCTCAAACATTATTACTTTGTACTTTGATTCGGCATTTAAGATACCTGAAATAATCGATCCTCTAAAGAAACAGCACATTTAGTAAATAAAACAACAACAGTCAAACGGCTATCTAACGGTTGTTCCTAACGTTGCCTTGGTAACCTACAAGCTAAACTGGCTCTGATAAAACGTCACATTTCATCACCTGTTGTCCGTTTTAAACAGCTATTGGTGCCACGACACATTAGTCTAACTGGTCCTAAAGAGATACGTGGGTTCAATCTGTTATAAAGTACACACTAGTTAACGTAGAGGACGGTTTTAGATAAATATGTCATAAAAGCTAGCTGCAAAGCCGACAAGGGTCCGCCATGTTTGTTTACAATGACGTCATCGGGCTGGTCCCACTACAGAACTAGAGCAGCTAGAAGAGACTCTGTTCATTTTATTTTCCTGCACTGTAGTTCAAACACGTTGGGATGCTTTTCTGTATTGGTTGACTTGTCATGATCAAAACATTCAGGTCTTAACATAATGATAATATCAAATGTAGCCTTCAATTTGAAAACAAAAAAACAGAATTTGGAATTAATAATTTGATTATACAGCAAAAATAATTCATAGACAAATGACGCTTCCTCAAAATGTCCGCCGTATTTATTGCTTTTCTTAATATGAAATTGACAAAGAATTAATTAAATTGTGCAAAAGTTAAAAAGCCCAACAATTGTATACCTTAATTCCTGAGTGACCACTTGTGCTTGTTTTTGTTCATTTCTGAGAGAAATAAAACTGTCATGGTATTGAGAACATGCAATTTGAACAATTGAACTACATTTACATTAACCACAGTTTTTGTATCATCCAACATCATATTATTTTTTTGTGCAATCTGAGCCAAAGATACATCAGCCTTTCATCAGTGAAACAAAGCATACAGAATATTAGCATAATATAACAGCACCATGAATGACAACGGTTGTTTATTTGAGCAAGAACAGGTGCAGACATTTTGCAGAGGACATTAAAAATAGAAAATGTATAAGAATAGAGTTAAAAATAAAGTATTCAGTGTTAGATTCAGATCCCAGAGTAGTGTCTCTTTTCTAAAACATCTCTGCTTCAATGTGTCTCACTATACCCAGGATATTTTGGGTCTCACGTGTGACCTGCTGGAGGAAGTTCTGGGATTCTTTTCAGGAACATTCCTGCTCCGTTTCTCGTCTCCTGATCTCTGCGGTGAGGTTTGACTCTGAGGATTTACATTTGATTTAAGAACTGATTTAGACCTGCTGTTTTCTGATGATACATGTGAACGTCCGGATGATTTGACTGAGGATTGTTTTTCAGGACCAGCTGATGAGTTTGGATTGTAACTTGTGTTATAATGTGACATTGATGGCAGCTGCTCTGAGTCCTCTCTCAGGTCTGGTGGTGATGAGGCTTCAGGGCTGGAGGAAAAATAAAAATAGTTAATATAGCTGCAATAGGATAAAAACATATTTATACGAAACAAAAATATACACCATTAAATAAATACATAACTGATGCTTGATCATTCAGACCAAGTATTGGAGGTGTAATGATGCCCCCTTTGTCGCGAGCATGTTGCCAGGGGTTACACATCACACTTTAAAGGTCACTTATTATGCAAACTTCTTCATGTCTTTTATACATAAACATGTAACACCTCAGCCTCAGGAACAAAGACCCCTCTCTTTTTGTCCTGATGCATTTATATGAAACCCTGTCTGAAAATGAGAGGATCAGATTTAGGCCTCTTTGTGATGTCACAATGTTTTTTTGGTTTGTGGCTGCGTCTCCTGGGAGGATCGTTTACTCAAACATCAACTTACTGATCTGGGGTCAGTTGTTCCTGCAGACACGTCCTCTCATTGATGGGGTACGAGTGGAAGAAGAACATCCCGATCAGCAGCAGAGCGACGGGCACCGGGGAGAACATCACGATGAGAGCTGTCGCCACCCCCCCCTCGTGATGACACGCACCCGCTCTGTCACCCACAAACCTGCAGACCAGGAGGAACAGGGATGTGACAAATGTACACATTTAATATATGAATAATTGGAGGGTGGATAAAATATTATTTTGGATGTTTTTTTTTAATATATTTAGTATTTTAATTTAATATTATTATTTTAATATTTTTTTATATGAAGACTATATGTAATTTTTATTTAATCTGAATTGTTTTACACTGAACAAAAATATAAATGCAACACTTTTGTTTTTGCTCCCATTTTTCATGAGATGAACTCAAAGATCTAAAACATTTTTTATATACACAAAATAACCATTTCTCTCAAATATTCTCCTTTGCCGAGATAATCCATCCCACCTCACAGGTGTGGCATATCAAGATGCTGATCAGACAGCATGATTATTGCACAGGTGTGCCTTAGGCTGGCCACAATAAAAGGCCACTCTAAAATGTTGTTTTGTTTTATTGGGGGGGTCTGAGGGGGTCCAAAAACCAGTCAGTATCTGGTGTGACCACCATTTGCCTCACGCAGTGCAACAGATCTCCTTCGCATAGAGTTGATCAGGTTGTCATTCAATTCACGGGCAACAGCTCTGGTGGACATTCCTGCTGTCAGCATGCCAATTGCACGCTCCCTCAAAACTTGCGACATCTGTGGCATTGTGCTGTGTGATAAAACTGAACATTTTAGAGTGGCCTTTTATTGTGGCCAGCCTAAGGCACACCTGTGCAATAATCATGCTGTCTAATCAGCATCTTGATATGCCACACCTGTGAGGTGGGATGGATTATCTCGGCAAAGGAGAAGTGCTCACTATCACAGATCTTTTCAGATTTGTGAACAATATTTGAGAGAAATTGTTATTTTGTGTATATAGAAAAAGTTTTAGACCTTTGAGTTTATCTCATGAAAAATGGGAGAAAAAACAAAAGTGTTGCATTTATATTTTTGTTCAGTGTAATATTTATTTAAGTAGAATCTTTTTTTTTTTTTGACTAAATGGTTTTTATTTTATTAAAATGTCATTTAATTCATTTATGTAGTATTTATCATTTTAACTTACTAGAAAAAAATCTACTTTTTGTCTTTCCTTCATGTTAACATCTTAATTTGGATTCAAGATATGCTGCATCTTCCTCTGTTTTGTTTCGCTTACTGAATACTGCCTGCAAAGTCATTCGTTTGGAGTTTTGAGCATGTATGGGACAAACAAAGTCAATAAATACTAAAAAGACTCACTGTAATATCAGGGTGGAGATGCCCACAGACAAGCCTCCTGCCAGCTTACTGCAGAAAGCATAACAGGAGAAGAACAGCGGCTCCAGGTCTCTGCAGGGCGGGTTCTTCATCGTGAAGTCATCCACCACATCTGGGAGCATCGACCTGCAGCAGGGCATGGTGCAGAGACTCAGTCACCACAAAATACACCCAAAAGACGCAAAACAAATCTTAAGAGCTGCAACGAGACAGACAATTACTATAAATCAACACTAAATGATTACAAGGGTTCAGAAACCAACTACAGAGACACAGAGCTAATAAAAAGAGGAACACATTGACCGCATAAACGAAGACGTATACATAGAGATTCAAAACAGCTGCAATGAGATGTAAATTGTGTTCCTGAGAAAGTGTGTGTGAGCTCCAGCACTACTGATCCATCTGTGTGTCTAAACCTCTGAATGGGTAAGTAATGGACTGTGCTCTTTTTTCTGGAGCGTTTACCTCGGGCTGTAGGAGCTAGCTTAGCATGCTAGCTGGTAACAAGTTAGCAACGCTAGTCAGATTGAGAGTTTGATGGAGAGAGAAACGGTGTGTTTAACAGTCTGCAGGAAAAGGTAATCTAGTAAACATGAGTAAAGTTCAAATGCAGCTGTCGTTGAAGAAGCAGCGCCTCACTGCTGCTGCTGAATATATAGTGGCGAAGTCCCTCCCTTTCCGGTGGACCTCCATGGGACCTTATTCACGCCCATCTACTTCCGGTCCATGGGATCTTATTTCGGAAAAATAATGTATTGAAGTCAATGGAGAGAGAACACTTATCTTTCGATCCCGTTTGAATTGTGCCACAAATTGTATGATGTTTGTCAATCTTAAAAAATTATTTCCATGTGAAAAAGTCACAGTTTGTCGTAAAACTGTTGAAATATAAGACTATGAAAAATACGCAACTAGAAAGACTACAAATCCCAGAGTCGCGTAACTGCAGTGACGCGTCCTAAAACCCAGATGTAAACTTTTTCCGGTTCCTTCGTCAAAAACGCAATGCAATTTCTCCATAGGATTTTGGAAAATAGCTCGAAATAAGGTCTGTGGTTGAGACACATTTAAGAGACGGATCACGTTTTGTTCAGCCGGATAATGTCCACATGTCTATCCTACTTTTATAATTTTCGAAGCATACATCTAGTCGCAAGAAGCAAAATGCTAACGTTATGCTATAAAGGAACTACAGCAGGGTCGCTGCTTCAACGTCACGCCAATTTAAGATCGATATTCAAACATACAGATTGTAAATGGTACGAGTTGAAGTGTTTGTTTGAACAGTTTGCAGGAGGCAGGTTATTGCTTTCAAGCAGAACAGGGCAAACAAACTTAGAGGAGTGTTTACGTGTTCGGTGTAATGACGTAAAACGGCCTCCACAACTTCTGTAGTCCTATTCAGCCACTTGTTAACAACCATCGTTTTTCAGACACGTAAACTCTTCAAAAATCACCAGCGGGGTCACTGCTGATGTATTTAATGTCGTAGAACAACACGTGATCTGTCTCTTCAATTTGTGTCAAACACAGAACTTATTTGGAGCTATTTTCCAAAATCCTATGGAGAAATTGCATTGCTTTTTATCGAAGGAACCGAATGGTAAAAATGCTAACTTACTTCCGGGTTTTAGGACGCGTCACTGCGGTTCTCTAGAGATAGCTAAGATCAGCGCCATATAGATATAATCTATCTATATGGCGCTGGCTAAGATAAGATAACTTTAACAAGATGCCTGTGTGCTTAGTACCAGGTTGTTATCATACCAGCAATGGGTCTTGCTCGTTCTTTCGCTTCCCGTCTGATGAAAGGACCAGGAGTGGCTGGATCAAGTTAGCTACCTAGCTAGTAGCTAGCATGTTAGTTAGTACGTGGGTTCCATCTGTTATAAAGTGCACACAATTGTATTTTTGTGCACTGTAATTCGAACATTGTGGGATGCTTTTCTGTATCGGTTGACTTGTCATGATCAAAACATTCAGGTCTTAATGATAATATCAAATGTGGCCTTCAATTTGAAAAAACAAAATATTTGCTTTCTCAAAATTCCCCAGTATTTATGGATTTTCTTAAAGCCATGTAATTAGACATAGAATTAATGAAATTGTGCAAAAGAAAAAAAGCCCAACAATTTGACACATTTCTAAACACCTTAATTCCAGAGTGACCACTCACATGTCATGGTATTGAGAACACAACCATTATGCCAAAACGACCAAATCATTTTGTATGCAATTGGAACAGATGATCTGCTTTCACCCATCTTTCCATCCATCTATCCATCCATCCATCTATCCATCCATCCACATTAGTATAACAGCACCATGAATGACAGACTGAAAAAGGTTGTTTATTTGAGCAAGAACAGGTGCAGACATTTTGCAGAGGACTTTAAAAATAGAAAATGTATAAGAATAGAGTTAAAAATAAAGTATTCAGTGTTAGATTCAGATCCCAGAGTAGTGTCTCTTTTCTAAAAGTCTCAATGTGTCTCACTATACCCAGGATATTTTGGGTCTCACGTGTGACCTGCTGGAGGAAGTTCTGGGATTCTTTTCAGGAACATTCCTGCTCCGTTTCTCGTCTCCTGATCTCTGCGGTGAGGTTTGACTCTGAGGATTTACATTTGATTTAAGAACTGATTTAGACCTGCTGTTTTCCGATGATACATGTGAACGTCCGGATGATTTGACTGAGGATTGTTTTTCAGGACCAGCTGATGAGTTTGGATTGTAACTTGTGTTATAATGTGACGTTGATGGCAGCTGCTCTGAGTCCTCTCTCAGGTCTGGTGGTGATGAGGCTTCAGGGCTGGAGGAAAAATAAAAATAGTTAATATAGCTGCAATAGGATAAAAACATATTTATACAAAACAAAAATATACACCATTAAATAAATACATAACTGATGCTTGATCATTCAGACCAAGTATTGGAGGTGTAATGATGCCCCCTTTGTCGCGAGCATGTTGCCAAGGGTTACACATCACACTTTAAAGGTCACTTATTATGCAAACTTCTTCATGTCTTTTATACATAAACATGTAACACCTCAGCCTCAGGAACAAAGACCCCTCTCTTTTTGTCCTGATGCATTTATATGAAACCCTGTCTGAAAATGAGAGGATCAGATTTAGGCCTCTTTGTGATGTCACAATGTTTTTTTGGTTTGTGGCTGCGTCTCCTGGGAGGATCGTTTACTCAAACATCAACTTACTGATCTGGGGTCAGTTGTTCCTGCAGACACTTCCTCTCATTGATGGAGTACGAGTGGAAGAAGAACATCCCGATCAGCAGCAGAGCGACGGGCACCGGGGAGAACATCACGATGAGAGCTGTCGCCACCCCCCCCTCGTGATGACACGCACCCGCTCTGTAACCCACAAACCTGCAGACCAGGAGGAACAGGGATGTGACAAATGTACACATTTAATATATGAATAATTGGAGGGTGGATAAAATATTATTTTGGATGTTTTTTTTAATATATTTAGTATTTTAATTTAATGTTATTATTTTTTTTATATGAAGACTATATGTAATTTTTATTTAATCTGAATTGTTTTACACTGAACAAAAATATAAATGCAACACTTTTGTTTTTGCTCCCATTTTTCATGAGATGAACTCAAAGATCTAAAACATTTTTTATATACACAAAATAACCATTTCTCTCAAATATTGTTCACAAATCTGAAAAAATCTGTGATAGTGAGCACTTCTCCTTTGCCGAAATAATCCATCCCACCTCACAGGTGTGGCATATCAAGATGCTGATTAGACAGCATGATTATTGCACAGGTGTGCCTTAGGCTGGCCACAATAAAAGGCCACTCTGAAACGTGCAGTTTTGATTTATTGGGGGGGTCCCGAAAACCAGTCAGTATCTGGTGTGACCACCATTTGCCTCACGCAGTGCAACAGATCTCCTTCGCATAGAGTTGATCAGGTTGTCATTCAATTCACGGGCAACAGCTCTGGTGGACATTCCTGCTGTCAGCATGCCAATTGCACGCTCCCTCAAAACTTGCGACATCTGTGGCATTGTGCTGTGTGATAAAACTGAACATTTTAGAGTGGCCTTTTATTGTGGCCAGCCTAAGGCACACCTGTGCAATAATCATGCTGTCTAATCAGCATCTTGATATGCCACACCTGTGAGGTGGGATGGATTATCTCGGCAAAGGAGAAGTGCTCACTATCACAGATTTGTTCCGATTTGTGAACAATATTTGAGAGAAATTGTTATTTTGTGTATATAGAAAATGTTTTAGATCTTTGAGTTCATCTCATGAAAAATGGGAGCAAAAACAAAAGTGTTGCATTAATATTTTTGTTCAGTGTAATATTTATTTAAGTAGAATCTTTTCTTTTTTTTTTACTAAATGGTTTTTATTTTATTAAAATGTCATTTAATTCATTTCAGTTATTCATTTATTTATCATTTTAACTTACTAGAAAAAAATCTACTTTTTGTCTTTCCTTCATGTTAACATTTTAATTTGGATTCAAGATATGCTGCATCTTCCTCTGTTTTGTTTCGCTTACTGAATACTGCCTGCAAAGTCATTCGTTTGGAGTTTTGAGCATGTATGGGACAAACAAAGTCAATAAATACTGAAAAGACTCACTGTAATATCAGGGTGGAGATGCCCACAGACAAGCCTCCTGCCAGCTTACTGCAGAAAGCATAACAGGAGAAGAACAGCGGCTCCAGGTCTCTGCAGGACGGGTTCTTCATCGTGAAGTCATCCACCACATCTGGGAGCATCGACCTGCAGCAGGGCATGGTGCAGAGACTCAGTCACCACAAAATACGCAAAACAAATCTTAAGAGCTGCAACGAGACAGACAATTACTATAAATCAACACTAAACTATTACAAGGGTTCAGAAACCAACTACAGAGAGACAGAGCTAATAAAAAGAGGAACACATTGACCGCATAAACGAAGACGTATACATAGAGATTCAAAACAGCTGCAATGAGATGTAAATTGTGTTCCTGAGAAAGTGTGTGTGAGCTCCAGCACTACTGATCCATCTGTGGGTCTAAACCTCTGAATGGGTAAGTAATGGACTGTGCTCTTTTTTCTGGAGCGTTTACCTCGGACTGTAGGAGCTAGCTTAGCATGCTAGCTGGTAACAAGTTAGCAACGCTCGTCAGATTGAGAGTTCAATGGAGAGAGAAACGGTGTGTTTAACAGTCTGCAGGAAAAGGTAATCTAGTAAACATGAGTAAAGTTCAAATGCTGCTGTCGTTGAAGAAGCAGCGACTCACTGCTGCTGCTGAATATATAGTGGCGAAGTCCCTCCCTGTCCGGTGGACCTCCATGGGACCTTATTCACGCCCATCTACTTCCGGTTGATGGGACCTTATTTCGGAAAAATAATGTATTGAAGTCAATGGAGAGAGAACACTTATCTTTCGATCCCGTTTGAATTGTGCCATCAATTACACATATGATGTTTGTCAATCTTAAAAAATTATTTCCATGTCAAAAAAATCACAGTTTGTCGTAAAACTGTTGAAATATAAGACTATGAGAAATAGGCAACTAGAAAGACTACAAATCCCAGAGTAGCGTAAGTGATGTCACAATTGTTTTCCTCCACTAAGAGATAGCTAAGATCAGCGCCATAAAGATAGAATATATCTATCAGTGGCGAGCCATCAGGGCCCTCTGTGAGGGCCTAAGATATTCTAAAAAATTATATTTGAAAACATTAAAAAAAAACATTTTTTTTAAAATATTATTTTTTATATTATTTTCGAGGACTTTATGACAGGTTCCGCCCGCTGTGAGGTCTATGCAAGTGGTGCAGTGACGCGTCCTAAAACCCGGAAGTAAGCTGCGCTTGGATTCCCTCGACAGAAAGCAGTGGGATTTCTCCATAGGGTTTTGGAAAATAGCTCGAAATATGGTCTGTGGAAAACGAACCTGTTAGATAAATGCACGTTGTGTTCAGCCGGATAATATCCACATGTCTATCCTACTTTTACTATTTTTGAATCATAAATCTAATCGATAGATTTATGATCGATATATTTATGATTAGCATGATGGCTCACTTCAGTGATAGTGATGACATCAGTGATAGTGATGACATCGTTGCGAAATTATTAACCAAGTCATTTTCAAGATTGAGTTACAATGATCAACTGGAGTGGCATAGGATCAGCTGCATGACCCGCCATCAAGTGCTTCATCCAAAAGGACAGGAGGATGAACTTTGTGTTTCAGTGATTTGATCATCAAAGGTAGGCCTAAGTCATTTTCAATGTGGGCCGCGTGCCGACTTAATTCATTTGTAATCGCTACTTGACTGTGGGTGCCCTGTCATGATAGGTGTTTATATAAATAGTGTTGTTTTGTGTGGTAGAGGGTCGCTGTCATTGATGCGTTTTGCACCCCGGACCACTGTTTTGATATTCCGCTGAAGTCTACGTTGAGACGTAGGGGGGGTCAGAGGGCCTAGGTATAAAAGTCACGGCTCGCCACTGCTTTCTATATGGCGCTGGCTAAGATAAGATAACTTTAACAAGATGCCTGTGTGCTTAGTACCAGCAATGGGTCTTGCTCGTTCTTTCGCTTCCCGTCTGATGAAAGGACCTGGGGCCTCATTTATAACACCGTGCGTAGGATTCACATGGGAAGGTTGATTACGTAGTAGAAATCCAAAAAATTGGTTCAGAAATATTCCGACATTTTCCGATTCACAAAACATTGCGTACCGGCGAGGAAAGTGCGTACGGCACTTCCTACGCCGGTTTCCCTTTATAAATCACAATCGAATCGAAATGCGGTGCAGCTTTTGCGGGCTTCACGTAACGCCCATATTTGCCTATAAATAGTCAAAGAAACGCCCATTCATTCATTTTGACTGACTGCATGAAGAAGATCGCAGGAAATGACGACAGAACAGCTAAAAAAAGACATCTCGCACCGTGTCAGATTTTGGTTATTTTGGGGAGGTCGAGATAAATCCTATTGTTTGGTGGATGCAGTTTGAACCAGAGTAGCAGCATGGAGGTTGGATCGTCACCAAAATAAATAAATAAGTGGTCCGAAAAACAATACACATAGCCGGGGACAGGAGACACCCCCTTGATGAGAAACTGTAAGAAATGATCGGGGAATCCCTCCGGAGTGGAGTCATGACGACTGGATCTGACGACCCCCCCCCGCAGCAACTCTATATCCACCAGTTAGAGGAAATACAACTAATTAGTGATGGGAATTCCGGCTCTTCTTGGTGAGCCGGATCATTTGGCTCGGCTCACCAAGAAGAGCCGGCTCTTTCGGCTCCCAAACGGCTCTTCAGTTTACCACTTATTATACCTTTTAATTCAATCAAATGTAGCCCTGTTTTGACTAATGAGTTATATGTGTACACATATATCACTTAAATTATTCAATACATCCTTTGTACTGAAGTATTCAAAAGTAAAAATTACATGTTTAATATAAATGATTTGCTGTGGCCAATTGTTTTCATTGCATTTACAGACACGTGCAACTCTCTGATACCACCCAATGAATGCATTGACTTGCTTGTAGAACCACGCTACACAAAACAGATAGCAACACCTATAAAACTATTTTAAAAAAGGGGCTACTGTATCGACCTATATAAAGTATATAAATATATATTTTTTTTCAAAATACCAAAAAGATCCTGCATTTTAGCCATGCCTCATTTCGCTCTATTTGCTCTTTCCAGCGCTTTTTTTGCAGGGGGCTGATTCTGTGAGCTGCAGCTGACCACGACCCCCTGCAGGAGAGGGGAGCGTGCTCTGAGATCAGCTGCTGGGCTGTCAGAAGAGGGGGAGAATCTCCGTCCTCCGTGTTTTATTTTTATAGAAGTAAGAAGAGAAGTAATGGGGCAGAAACCTTCCTTTTTACGCAGTGGTCCAGACATAGACATCAAACGGCGACACATATTCAGTTGCCAGTTACTTTGGCATTAGGGCAGGGATATCTAGATACTTTCCAAGGTTTGACAAAATGAATTGTGCTACTTTTAAAGCAAGCAACGATGTTTTCAAATCTGTAATCAAAAAGCTCCTCAAAAACACTATCGAAGCAGTTCCTGCCGTTGCTACGTTAGTTCAAACAGTAACAACGGACTACTTTTCTTAGCGGATGCATGTCAATTTAAATCAATACATAAAACTATTTTTTAAATCACTAAAATCATTTTCTAAATCCATAAAAGCATTTCCATTAATATTGGGAGTCATGTCGTTACTTTGTTGAGAATGTGGCCGTGTAATAAGCAGGATAATGTGCACATTGCATAATGTGCCTTCATGCCGATCTAGATCCCTCCGCAAAAATGTCTCGTTCGCGGGCGAGAGCCGGCTCCCGTCGTTCACATCACTACAACTAATGTGTTGTGTTATATTAGCTGTACAATTGACCACATATGGTTTTCTTAGTTTCCATACCTCCTGTGTTTTACGAGCGACTTATCAAGTCTTGGCAAATGGCATAAAACACGATTAAACGTGAGAGTATATAAAACCATGCTCGTATCTACAACCTATAGAAATGCAAAACGGCGTCAGTTTAGACGTAATTCTGTCCTCCTGCTTATCGCATCATTTATGAGAAAACATTTCATAACATTAACACAACATATTCAAGGTGGTTTTAAATAACATATCCGTATTTATTTATTTCTCCAAGTTATGTTTTTGTGTGCACTGAGGTGTCTCAAACAGGCGTTTGTTTAATCATTTTAAGATTGGCTTTAATCAATGTTTGAAAATGAATTCTTCATATATGATAAATGAGAGGTAACATTTTATTTATGGTATTATTTCCACATATTTCTCTCCATTCTTCCTTCTGCCAACGGTGTCGCAGTTTCTCGTCTCTCCCGTTTTTGTGCTTAGTGCGTACGCATGGGTCAGAGTTTGCGTGGAGGACCGCACATTTTCCCGTCAAGTTAGTATTTTATAAATCGCAAACATTGCGTAGAAACTGGCGTACGCCATTTTTTGAGCGTATATCCCTTTATAAATGAGGCCCGAGGAGTGGCTGGATCAAGTTAGCTACCTAGGTAGTAGCTAGCACGTTAGTTAGCATTACAGCCTTGTCATTTTTATTAGCCTTAATATCAAGTAACATTAAGGAACCCAAAATGTTAAACAGTAAGAGTAGTAGTCATATTTCGTGAACCCTTTGAAGAGTACTGTCACCGGTGTGATCATTCTATAATACACAATTTAAGCCTGGGGGAGAAATGCTAACGCTAGCATCGGTGATCGCCGATCTTTTCTACTTCACACTATCTGCACAAATGGTTGACATTAAACATTAAAAAGACCAGGCAGTTCAGAGAGAATCAAAGGAATGCAGGCAGGCAGCTTTGCATGACATTCTTCTGGACGTGTTTCATTGTGGTGATAGTGAGGGTAGTCAATCCTTTTGTTGACAAGACAGTAGTGACGGCCATCTTGGTGACGTGTGTTGTTGTGAGAGTCTGCGAGACCCTGGCCCTTTCTCATTTCTCTAACTCCCCTCCTCGACTCCTATCCTCGAGACTTAGTCCCGCCCACAGGAGATGCGAACGGAGGAGTCGAGGAGAGAGGAGGGGAAGCAGCAGGCGGTTAGAGAAATGAGAACTCCTCTCCTCTAAGCGGTCATCTTAAAGAGACGTCCATTAATGATGACAGGAGGCACAGCAGCCCTCTGTCTGATGGACAGATGTGTTCATGACGACTTATATATTTACTTTTAATTCATTCACAGTGCGGTATAATGAGA